ACATACTTTAAGGGAAAAAGGCAAAGCACAAACAAGTATGCATAAAATGTTACCCTTCCAGTAGGAAAGAAGGGGACGTAAGAAAAATAGGCGTCTAGGCAGGGAACGGTGGCTCATGCCTATAATCCCAGCGCTTTGGGAGGCCGAGGCAGGTGGATCACCTGAGGTCAGGAGTTCCAGAGCAGCCTGGCCAACATCTCTACTAAAAATACTAAAATTAGCCAGGCGTGGTGGTGTACACCTGTAACCCCAGCTACTCTGGAGGTCGAGGCAGGAGAAACACTTGAACTCAGGAAGTAGAGGTTGCAATGAGCCAAGATCGCAACACTGCACTCCAGCCTGGGCAACAAAGCAAGACTCCTTCTCAAAAAAAAGTAAGTGCTGTAATGTGGTCAGTAAACGTGTTTCCCCCGAGGGTACGGCAAGCAATTCTGAAACTAATTTAGTAGTTTCAGGTGTGGACTAGAACTGAACAAATTAGTAAGAATATCATAATAATGATAGCTGGCTTTCTCACTGTTGAAAAAAGAAGTTACAACTGAGGAAAGGCTAAAGTGAGCCCCGTTGTGCCGGTTTGGAATCAGGTGTCAGTATAAACTCAGGACTGTAATAGGCATACAAACAGACACAGAAATACACATGCGTGTGCACACTTGGGTTAGCAGACATGCATGTATGTCCTAGCCTGTCTGCTGATGAGAGAGCCTCGACCAGAGACATCCCAGGAGCATGGACAGCTCTGCTTGGATCTTGGCTTCTCACCATTCCCCAGTAAAAGGCACCAGTATCCTTGGAAAAATGGCTCATTCCCAGGTGGAGGCAGGGAGGCTATAAGATGAGTTTGGAGCATCTTCTCATGCCAGAAAGTGAGAAAGTGCTCAAAGAAAAGCAGCTGTCAAAAGAACACGGGGACCAATCTCAAGGGGCTCCCAATGGCCAAAGCTGGAACAAATTGTTAAATAATCTAATAAACGATGGGGCAAAGGGCAGCCCTTCCTTACAGAATAATTCCAGTTAATAAATGTATAAGAAAGAGGGCAAAGAAAACTACCATCAAGCAAACACCACAGTAATAAGTGATACAGGCAAGGTCCACCAACGAATGTTAAAAGTAGCGGGCACAAGTTTGAAAAGAACAAGTTATTAGCATAATCTTAAATACATCCCCCAAGATATTTATTAACCACGAAGGGAAAGATTCAGAGTCACTTTTCAGTGTCAAAACTTCCAGGTAAAGGCCACCAGGACATGCGTACAAGTTGAACAAGTTGGGTTTATTTCTTGCTGCAGTAACAAGGGAGAACACAGGCTTTGGAAAACCATAAGGTGACTCAGAGAGAGGGTACTATAAAGGCCTCATGAGGTTGGGTCTTGGTTTAGGGGAGGGTTTAAGAAAACAAGATTTTTTCTGGGTGGGAGGCTGTCAGGCAGCAGGAGTGATTCTGTGTTGAAATAGCTTCAGCTAAAGCTGTGCTTGGTAAAGAAGTAGCAATGGCTCACATGAGCCAGGAGAGGGAGCTGTTGGGCCATTTTTGTGGTTAGTTGACGTTTTTCTGAATCAGACTTGATTTTGGAGCAGGCTTTCAAACGTCAATGTTTTGTGTGTTCAGCCGGAGAACCCTAAGGCATGGCCCCTGGATGTTAGGGCTGCTTGTGTCTTTCTGAGCAGTGGAGACAGTCAACAAAAATTGGTCAAGATTAATATGACCAATAAGAAGACATGTTGCCCAAAGAAAGCAGGCAGAATTCAGGTGAAATGCTGTCCTCTTACATCTTACTAGGCCTTGGCATCTAGCCCTCCGGTCCAAGGACAGGACCAGAAACAAAGCTCATCTCCAGGCTAATTCCCTGGAACTGGAAATGCCTCCAGAGCAAAAGCAGCCTGAAACAAGAACCCTGCTGGGCTCTTGTCTTCTTCCAGATCTTGTAGCTTTCTGATGCTTTCAGTAAGACTTTTGGGGGCTGTTTGTTCAGCTTCTTGAGTCATCCTCAGGGAGAAGGTTGATCTAGATTGCCTCGCGACCAACAGTCTTTATTCTGATTCCTCAGGAGAAGCCAGGGAGAGACTGAATATCGAATGTGACGATGGCCTGACCATACATAAGAGTAGAACTTGACCCAGTCTGTAGCAACCAGCTGGGACACCAGCCTGCTAGCTGTGAGCCAAATGCATAGGAAGTCAGACCACTCTCTCAGGCAACAATCCCAGGAGGCCTAACAAAAACTCCCCTAACAATCGCCCCCAAATGACCAGGACTTGATTAATAACTGGCAACTTCTCTAATTTTTGTCCCTGCTACCAACTTAGGACCAACCAGGAAAAAACAGATATGCTCTCCTAACCAATCACAAAGGCAGCCCCGCAGTTTCCGCAGGCCGGCTGCCTCCATCAGGGCTCACCTGGGCCTTCCTTTCCCTCCGCCTCCCTGTGAGTCTTGGCCAAGTACAGTGATGGCGGCCGCCCCACTTGCTAGCGCAGCTCTAGATGAAGAGGTTCTGCCTGTCCTCATGTGGGTGGTCTTCCTTTATTCCCACACCAGAAAGCTAGCTTTTAATGGAAAGTCCTCTAATGTTAGTAAAGAAAATAAAATTGTAAAATGTCATGGGGGTAAGCAGGCTGAAGGATTGCCATGTCTGCTGAGTACGGAGGGAGCCATTGAAATCTTTCTAGTAGGTCAGAGCACCCCAGCTCTGCCTCCGATAGAGAAAGGACATCCAAGGGGGCTTCTCCCAGACACCTCATCTCAGAATCAGGCCTCTGTAGGGCCTTGGGCCTGCTGCAGGCCTCTGACCCTGTAGGACATGAGTAGTATGGGACATCTGGACCACTTTCTAAAAAGGCAGGACAGGGTGGTGCTCTGACTTCCCCCTTCACCCCGCCTGGCCCTGGGGCCCCAGAGGCTGAGGGTGGTCCCAAGCCCACTCCCCAATCCCAGTGTGATCCTGGCAAGTCCCCACCCAAGCTGGGCTTCAGGCCCCCAGCTATAAAGGAGGGGGCCTCTCAGCTGGAACGGTGAAAAGCCACTCTGTTGGGAGCTCATTACTTGCCCATTCTGTACCCAAGGCATTGACCCAAGCCCCAGAATCTTCCCAGGGGCAGTGTTTCTGGAGAGTAGGGTGGCAGCTTGGAATCATGAGTTTATAGAGATACAGAGGCCAGGTTCCTCCCTGCTGCTTTCCCTTCTACAACCCCGGCTGGACTTTCCCTCCTCAGCCCAGGAGACCCAGGCCTGGGTCCCACATACCTGCCTCCCAGGCCCAATGGCTGCCTTTATCCACACCCTCCGCCTCCTCTCCTCCCACCTCCCCATCAGCTGGCAGAGGGCCTTTCTAAAACACATCTGGTCCTGTCTTGGCACCCTGACCCCTGGCCTGGCCCCCATGGCTCTCCATGGTCAGCCCTGCCAGCCTCCCCAGCACTTTCTCACTTCAGTGTCAGGGAAACTGAATCCCCCGAAAGATCTCATTTCTCTGCACCTGCCAGACTGCACACCTTGGCCTTACACATCCATGCTCCTGGCCTCCTTGTGCAACACTGGATTCTTCCGAAAGCTTGGGGGTGACTCCCTGTTAGAAGCCTCACAGCTGGGAGGAGCCTCTGTGGGTGCGCAGCTGGGGTCTGCAGTTCAGGGCCCACCTGTGCCCCTGACCACAGACAAGTGTTAGCAAATAGACCCCAAGTGAACAAGGTGGACAGAGATGACACCATGGGGCCTCACCCACCAGGGCCATACCCAGCAGCAGCCTTCGTGGCCCTGCGCTACCTGCCGTGACCCAAAGCAGAAGCAGAGCCAGCAGGGCATCCAACCCACCTGCCAATGACCACCGGCCCATGAGGCCCATGGTTCTGCTGGGCACAGGAGAGGGGACAGAGGGCCCATGGCAGCTTCACAGCCTTGCAGCCCTGGAGTAGGAGGTGGCAGGAGAGTTTTAAAAGATGAGAGAACTTTCCAGGCAGGAGCTAGAGGCTAGAGGACGTGCAGCCACTGTGTGCAGGGACATGACTGGGTGAGATAGGGGATGTGGGAAGGGTGTCAGAGCAGGCAGGCCATGAGGAGGGCAGAGACCTGAGGCCAGGACCTGCACCCAGGGTCATGGCCCCAATGACAAGGGCTGAAGGCAGGACCCACGTCCAGGGACATGACCCCTATGGTTAGAGTGAGACCTTCACCCAGAGGTCATGACCCCAATGACAAGGACAGGACATTCACCCAGGAGTCATGACTCTGATGACAAGGGCTGAGGGGTGGGACCTGCACCAGGGTTGTGACCCTGATGACAAGTGCGAGGCCTTCACCCAGAGGCCGTGACTCTGATTGCAAGGGCCAAAAGCAGGTCATGTACCCAGGGCCTGTGGCAGTCACCACAAGACTGGGACACACCTGTGGAATAGCATGGCCTCCTCTGTCCCTGTCTCTACTCTGAGAGTTTGGAGAAAACCTTGACCCCACAGGACCAGGAGCGGGGACAGTGTGCTCCAGATGACCACAGCCCAGGCCTCAGTTCCCCATCCATCCTGGGCACACAGGAGCTGCTGGGGAGCAGAAGAGCCTGTGCATCTTGGAAGATGATGGGCTGGGGCCAGGCAAGCCAGGGGCCAACAGCCTCCCCCTGGGCGCAAGAAGAACCCTATGTCCCTTGCCTGTGGGGCTGGTGAGCCTAGAGAAACAGCATTCCTGGAACCCTCTGGCTTCTCCATTTGGCCCTCAGGGCCCTAAGGGCAGCTGTGCTCCTGCCCTGAACTCCTTGTCCTGCCAACGCCTCTCGCTCCTCCCCACTGTTCCCCACCCCCCACCAGCCACACTGAACACGTGTTCCCTCCTGGGCCCCTGGGCCTCAGCTCCCTCTGGTAGTTGGAGTAGGGTCTCATTATTACCCCATTTTACAGATGAGGAAAGACTAAGCTTCCCTCCCTCCCTCTCCTCCCTCCTCCCTCCCTCCCTCCCTCCCTCTCCTCCCTCCTCCCTCCCTTCCTCCCTTCTTCCCTCCCTTCCTTCCCATTAAAGGCTAATGCCCCAGATGCTGGGAATGTGCTATTCAGCAAGAAGACGAGAGGGGTCCTGTGCTCCGGAGGCCAGAAAACAGGACATCTCATGAACAAACCAGATCATCTGCAGACAGATGTCTGCAGTGGTCGGAGCCACTACAGCCCATCCTGGGGCAGTAGCCTAGAAGAACTGACAGGAACAAACCCAAGAGGGTTTTGTAGGGGCATCTATCAATGGCCCGACCTCTTGGTGACTGATTGGATGGGGACGCACAAAAGGAAGGCCCTCCAGGTCTCTGGCATGTGGGGAGCCATTCCCAGGGAAAGGAGACTTGGGAGGAGGCTGAGCTTTGCACTGGCAACAGTGGGCAGATGTAGCTTCAAGGCCTCTGAAGACTCGGAACCAGGCAGGGCCCTGGGTGTGCCTGGGAGCTGCTGCAGGGGTGCAGGGGTAGAGGCCAGGGCAGTGGGCTTGGGAGGTGTGGGCAGATGCATCCCACAGGATGAGGGGTGGGGAGAGCAGAGAAAGGGGACAGTGGCGGTGCCATAGACATTCCCTGAGGAGTGAGGACTGTAGAGGGTTGGGAAAGAGGAGGCGGGGGGAGCTGGGATGCAGGGGCAGTTTGAAGGAGGACCAAGAAGGAAAGACCCAGCCTGCCTGAACTCACAGAACTTGCAGTTACTTTACACATAGAAGAATTTTATCTGTAGGAAACTGGTCCTGGGATTTCCAACTTCATATGAAAGTAGTAGGGGATTGGCCTGGCACGGTGGCTCACACCTGTAATCCCAGCACTTTGGGAGGCCAAGGCGGGCAGATCACCTGATGTCAGGAGTTCAAGACCAGCCTGGCCAACGTGGCAAAACCCCATCTCTATTAAAAAAAAAAAAAAATAGTTGGGTGTGGCGATGGGAGCCTGTAATCCCAGCTACCCAGGAGGCTGAGGCAGAAAGAACTGCTTGAACCCAGAAGACGGAGGTGGCGGTGAGCTGAGATCGCACCACTGCACTCCAGCCTGGGTGACAGTGAGACTCTGTCTCAAAAAAAGAAAGTAGAGCTGGGCGCGGTGGCTCATGCCTGTAATCCTAGCACTTTGGGAGGCCGAGGTAGGTGGATCACCTGAGGTCAGGAGTTCAAGACCAGCCTGACCAACATGGTAAAACCCCATCTTTAAAAAAAAAAAAAAAAGAAAAGAAAGTAGAGGGTGTTGAAACAACATGATGTTTCAGATTTAAACTTCAACAACAGCACAATGATAGTAACACAAGTCTGGAAAATATTGACAAGTGTAGACCGTTAGTCTGTGAGTACTTATTAGACTATTCTTCTTACTTGCTGTGTGCTTGAAATTCTCATAATAAAAAGTAAAAGTGAAAGGCTTCACCACTACCCATCGGCCGATCTACCCAGGAGGCAGGATGAGCATGACTGCTTATGAGGTGTTGGGGGCCCTGCACACCCGGGTGTGCCAGCAGGGACTGGGAATCGGGCCAGGTGTTTGGAGGACACTTGGGTGAGGCCTCTCGTGTGGACGAAACTCGGACCGTTTGGCCCAGCAGCTCTGCCTCTACACTGGTACCCTGCAGAGCTCCCCGCCCGCGTGCCCAAAGCCAGGGTCTTCTGTGGTAGCAAAGAATCAGAAACAACCTAAATATCCATCCGTAGGAGACCAGCAAATACGAGGACACATCCATACCGAGGGGACCACGCCGCCATTCAGAAGCAGACGCAGACGGTGTCATTAAACGGATAATCTCCAAGCGGAAAAAAGGAGGTGTAGACAGTGTGCACGTAAGTCGCGTTTCTAAGGAGAATGGACCCATGCATCCATACCTAAACACGCTTGACCATCTCTGGGGAGAGTAGGAAATCAACCTCCGGGAATGAGAACAGGGGTCAGGGCCAAGCGGGAACGCTGCCCCCTGCCTGCACTGTGCGTGGCCACCGTCGCGTGCCTGTGGCCTTTCTTCCAGAAATAATAGTAATGAAGGAAATAAAGGATCGCGGAAAGGAGGATGGAGCTGGGCCTGCCCTGACTGCAGGTGCTGCTGGGATTGGAAGCAGCCTTGAACTGGGTGCCCTGCCCAGGCAGGAGAAAGGCCATCCCCCGAACCCAGAGGGCTGAGGAGCCCCAAGCCCCAAGCCCTCCTCTCTGAAGTCAAGGCAGGCCATTTGCTGCTGAGAGTGGGAGGTGGAGACTCCAGGACCCTGAGAGCAGGTGAAGGTCCTGGAAGAGTCTCTGGGGGAATCAGGACAGTGTTGATGGGTGTGTGATGGGAGTCATGTCCCCGGGGCCTGGCAGACTCTGAACTCAGCAGCTTGGGGACTCCACAGAGTGAAATCATCAGAAGATGGCCACTGGCCAGGCACGGGGTGGGGTGGCTGGGGAAAACGGGAGAGGCAGGAGCCTGGAGCCCCAAGACATAATGAGGGCAGCAGTGTGGATCAGGAGGAGTCTGAGACATCAGGGTTAGAGCAGAGCTGGGGAGGAGGGGCCGGAGACAGAGGGTCTCTGGGACCCCTGGAGGCAGCCAAGAGAGCTGGATAACCAGGGGCTCCAGGTGTCGCTGCTTCATGCCAGCAGCCCACACAGCGACGTGTGCCTAAGCTAGGTTCAACATTCGGCTGTTATGCCTTGAAATCCTTAACTTCACCTCTGAACATGTGCTAGTAAGTGAAGTCTGGTGGGACAATGGAACAAACACACCAGGGACACACATGTGCAGCAGGCCTGGCCAGCCCGTGTGCACAGGTCCCAGTGAGACACAGACGAGCGGGACCCTGGTTCCCGGACAGGCTGGAGCCGCAGAAGGGTGCGACAGACCTCTTAAGAAGCAGGAGCAGCCCCGGAGTCCTACTGGCCCTTCCCTACCCGCCTTCATCCCCGTAGGAGCCAGCCAGTGACGCTGAAAATGACAGCACAGCAGGAAAGGGGAAGACGGCGGCCAAGCCTTCCCTGCTTGTCCAGTAGCCAGAGGAGGACCGCATGTCAACAGGTGAAACCACCAGTGCTCACAGTGGTCCTCCTCAGGGGGACCAAAAGGTGGAGACAGCGCGGTGTCCATCAGTAGATGAGTGGACCAACAAAGTGTGCACATGCACACCAAGGAATGTAATGGTCCATAAACGGCGAAGCACCGACACAGGCTGCAGAATGGATGAAACTCAGCAGCCATGCTCCGTGAAAGAAGTCAGACACAGCAGGCCATACATTCTATTACTTCATTTCCATGAAATGTCCAGAATAGGCAAATCCACAGAGCCGGAAAGTCGATCGGCAGTTGCCAAAGGCTGGGAACAGAGGGAAATAGAAAGTAACTGCTTGTGGGTACTAGGTTTCTTTATAAGGTGATGGAATGTTCTGGAATTAGAGGTGGAGGCGGTTCAGCTTTTTGGATGTACTAAAAAGTTGTACCCTTTACAATTAGGGGTGAGTCTTATGGCATGTGAATTACATCTCAATAAAAAATTAAAATGAGATAAAAACAAAGAATGCAACTCTTTTTTTTTTTTCTTTGAGACAGAGTCTCACACCATCCCCCAGGCTGGAGTACAATGGTGCGATCTCTGCTAACTGCAACCTCTGCCTCCCAGGTTCACGTGATTCTCCTGCCTCAGCCTCCCAAGTGGCTGGGATTACAGACACACACCACCACACCTGGCTTATTTTTTGTATTTTTAGTAGAGATGGGGTTTCATTATGCTGGCCAGACTGGTCTCGAACTCCTGACCTTGTGATCTGCCTGCTACGGCCTCCCAAAGTGCTGGGATTACAGGCGTCAGCCACTGCACCCAGCCAACTTTTTATCCTTATTAATAAACAAGTTCATATAGATATGAACGACTGTAAGAAGTGAGGCAGGCTGCAGTGCTAAGGGTGTCTGGCCACAATGTTGGTTACAGCAATTTTGATGTAATGGAGGGAAAATTCAGTCTGACACATTCAGTCAACTGGTTCCGTGTGTTAGAAGAGTAAAACTACTTAAGAGGAAGCTGTTTCCTCAGAACAAGAAATGGATCCAAAAATACTAAATAAAAAGAAAGAAGAGAAAAAAATAAGTGGAACGAAAGCAGTTGAGTTAGTTTCGTGCAGCATTGGCACTGATGTATATGTGTGCCCTATGTGAACTACAAGGCAAGAATTGTGTGATTGGGTGATTCTGCTAAGAGCTTAGTGCTCTTGTGTTTGCCTTTGAATTGGCATTGCACAGCATAAAAAGGACTGTGACAGACACGTTCATTAAAAGAAATTTTTATGGGCCGGGCGTGGTGGCTCAAGCCTGTAATCCCAGCACTTTGGGAGGCCAAGGCGGGTAGATCACGAGGTCAAGAGATCGAGACCATCCTGGTCAACATGGTGAAACCCCGTCTCTACCAAAAATACAAAAAATTAGCTGGGCATGGTGGCGCGTGCCTGTAATCCCAGCTACTCAGGAGGCTGAGGCAGGACAATTGCCTGAACCCAGGAGGCGGAGGTTGCGGTGAGCCGAGATGGTGCCATTGCACTCCAGCCTGGGTAACAAGAGCAAAACTCCGTCTCAAAAAAAAAAAAAAAAAGAAATTTTTATTTTTATTTACTTAAATTGACACATTGTGAAAAGCATCATGACAAGTCAGAGAGACTGTGGATGAGAAACATATCTTTTTATTCTGGTACCTTTACCAGTACTTTTTTCCCATTTGTTGAACAAGGTGCCCTGAAAAAGGCATAGTTAGTTCTGGGGCACCCTGTGGAGATGGGAGATGCTGGCGAAGGAAGTGCCCCTCTGTGCTCTCAAGGAAGAGGGGACTAGGTGGGGGTGGGGGTTGCATCGTGTTTGTCTGTGGCAGGGATCTGCATTCTTGAGATGGGTCCGCTCTCGCCTCAGATCCAGCATTGGCATGAGATGGACTCAGATCTTCTAGCCAAACCCTTTCATGGTATAGGTAGGAAGGGACAGAGAAAAGGGCCACCAGGGCCTGCCAGTGAGCAGTTGTGGCTTTGCCACCTTCGCTTCCCCAAGCTTGGTCTCCACCAGGTCTCTGGTCCGTGCATAGCCCCCTTACCAGGAGGGTAGAACAACCTATGTGAAGCATTGTGTAAACTTCGAGCCATGGAGAGGTGTGTCCATGCCGGCCACCCCAGGAGGCGCCTGGCTTGAGACCCATTGCTCTGCAGAGGGGCTGTGAGGGCCGTGATGCAGTCGTGTCATGCCATGGGCACACACACACAAGGCACGTCACAGGCCTGCTGAAGTAGCAGAACATTCTGGCCTGGAACATCCTGATGTTCAGTAGCGGAGGGTCCCGGGGAAGCTTTAAGGGGTTCTGTGAGGGTCCCCAGCTGGACAGGAGTGCCGCCTCGATCAGGGACTAAGCTCCAGCTGTCAGGCAGCACGTGGTCACCCAGGATCTTCAGGGCAGATGTCCAGGTTCCACAGTCCCCAGGGCCGCTTCCCTATCCAAGGCCTCGAGGCAAGAGGATCAAGGAAATGCCCCAGAGCAGAGGGGGCATGGCGCCCTGACAGCACACCCACCCCTGCCTTGTGGCACCCACTCATTTGGCACAGGAGGGTCCCTTCTGGGAAGAGGCCTTCCTGGTGCTTGCCCTGTACGAACATCCCCTGACATAGAGCCTGGCGCGTCCCTCATCCAGTGCCCAACATTCGCAGGGAGTTTGCAGCGCATAAGCAGAAGGCAGCTGCTTCTCATAGAAGGCCCAGAAAACTACAAAAAAGTAAGCAGCGAAACACCCTCGGAGCGCACCCCGTGCCTGCTGTCTTCCTCCTGTTTTGATTCCTAGGTGATGTTGTACAACTTTGGGACACATCATTTCTTTTGTTCCTGAGGGGCCCCTATGCAACCATTTTTAAATAACTGCTGTACCCGTGTTTCATATCAGTTCTTTTTCTTCCTTCCTCTGTCCTTCATGTTATCAATTCTCCTAAATAAACATGCATGACTTGCAAAATGGGGAAAAAGTGGTCAACCTAATAAGGACTTCTTCTTTCAAAAATGGCCCTCGTTATAGCGGACACCCCAGGCCTCTCAGACGTTTCCCCGAGCCTGGGCCTGGCTTCTTCAGGCATCCAAGGAGGAAGTGCCTCGGCCCAGTTGGAGCCTTGCCAGCCTGTCCTCCCCGCTGCCCCACCCCGAGGCCCTCCTCCCACCCCGGTCCTTTAAACGTACCCCAGGTCCTCAGGCCACCATCTGCCGCCCGCCTGCCACACGCCACCATGCGCTGCCTCCTCAGCCTGGCCCTAGCCTTGCTTGTGCTGGAAGTGACCCTCGCTGTGGTCCCAGCCTTCATCTCGCCAGGTAACTCTCTAGGGGACACTCCCAGGAGTGTCCTCCTGCCTGATCTCTGCTTCCAGTGGGACCCGAGGAACTACAGGTCCTGGTGGTTTGGTGACAGGAGAGGGGAAGAGAGAAAGGGAGGAGGCTCACCCCTTGTTGTGGGGAGTCTAGGGATGGCAGAAAAGCAGGGCTGTATGTACACATGGAGGCAGCTATCCCCAGATGAGAAGCGCCTGGGCCTGGGAGCAAGCAGGGCAGCCAGGAGATGGGGAGGTGGCAGCAGAGGGTGGGGCTGTCCTCAGACCCTAGCCATGTCTGGTCAGGGTCTTAACATCCTGCCACCTGCAGTGGGCTTGTGGCCTTGCTTCCTAATTTTCACAGCTGACTTCCCATGCTTTGATCGGGTCTGTCACATTTCTGGTAGATTTTTTTTTTTTTGGCCTTCTAAGAAACATTGTGTTGGGCTGTTGAGGGATGGGCTCCTCGTTGCCTCTACCTTGCTTTCCCTTGAGGGGCCTGGGGGTGGGGCCTGGACCCCCATCCACCTGCCCATCCCGTGTGCAGAGCAGGCCGTGTGCCCTGAGGCCAGCTCCTCTGAGGAGGCGCCCTGCGTCAAAACCTGCCTCACCGACAACGACTGTCTTGGCAACAACAAGTGTTGCCCCAGCGCCTGTGGCCGCTCCTGCAAAACCCCCACCATCGGTAACGCCCCACCTGGCCCTGTACCCATGGTGACAGCCTGGCTCCCATCTGTTGGGGGAGGGAGGAACCAGCTTTCTCAAGGATCTTCCTGAGCTGGACATTTGGGACCACCCTCTTAGCGCCCACACAACTGCCCCCTACACTCAGCCCTGCATGTGAGCCCCTGCCGGAACCTGCCTGAGGCTGGCCCACGCTCACCCACCTCTGTCCTGTGGTCCAGGCCTCCAAGGAAGGTGGGGCGTTTCTTGCCTTGAGATCAGCAGAAAGGAGGCCCCAGGGATGCATCTGACCCCAGGGCAGAACAGAGGCTCAACTTCCCCATTTACTTATTTATTTTTAATTTTTTTTTCTTTTGAGACCAAGTCTCTCTCTCTTGCCCAGGCTGGAGTGCAGTGGCCCAATCTCAGCTCACTGCAACCTCCGCCTCCCAGGTTCAAGGGATGCTTGTGCCTCAGCCTCCAGAGTAGCTGTGACTACAGGTGCACTCAGCCACACCCGGCTAATTTTCGTATTTTTTTTTTTAGTAGAGATGGGGTTTCACCCTGTTGGCCAGGCTGGTCTTGAACTCCTGACCTGGTGATCCGCCCACTTTGGCCTCCCAGAGTGTTGGGATTACAGGGATGAGCCACTGCACCCAGCCCAACTTCCCTATTTATAAATGGGTATTTTTGGCATCGGGGGCCCAGGGAGGTGGGCCCAGCAAGGCTGGGAAGCATAAAAGTGCTTTGGGTGATGAAGGGCTGGCCTGTCTCTCCCCTAGTATTGACTCCAAAGGTTGGCAGCTGCCCCTGGGTACAGCCCCCAGTGAGCCCAGAGCTCTGCCAAGAGCAGAGTGAGTGCTCCATGGACAGCCAGTGTTGGGGAAACAAGAAGTGCTGCTTCAGCCGCTGTGCCAGGAAGTGTCTGGACCCTATCCTAGGTATGTGCTCCCTTTCTCCCTGAGCTTCCCCAGGCCAGCTTGGGCCTTCAGTGGGTCCTTGAAGGTGGGTGCAGTCCATGAGCTGGCCCTGGGGGCAGATGGGACTCTCTACACCAACCCAGACTATGCCAGCTGCAGGCCCCCTGGCACTCAAGGAAGTCACTCAGGCTCAGGGTGGCAAATGACTGGCAGGTCCTGTGCTGCTCGGCCTGTGTGCAAAGCCTGTGCCTCTACCACTTCCCTGCAGAGAGCAGCTTGCCTCCCAAATATTGGGAGAGCTTTAGGCCAGGTGTCCCAAACATGGGTTCTGGGCTAACTGCTCAAGCCCACCTATGACCTGGACTTCCTATCTGGCAGATGAGGGTGGCCTCGCCCACCTGTCTGCAGGCGATGGTGAGGGCCGGGGGAAAGGCCAGTGGAGTGCAGGGCTCTGCTTGCTCCTCTGCACAACAGGAAAGGGGCCAGCAGCTCAGGTCCCTGGGCCTGTGGGTGTGAACAGGTTAGCACTTGAACAATGGACAGCAGGTGGCCTCCCTCCTCCCAACCCCACCCTGGCTGGGCTCTGTACTGCATCTGAGTTCCCCATGCCCCCCTGCAGAGGACGTCCCTCAGTGAGAGACAATTCCCCAAGAGCCCCTGCTGCCAGGAGTGACTGCCCCAAGTTTGCTATGCAGAAACCAACTCTCATGGATCCAGAGAGTGCATGATGCCTTCTACCGGCTGCTAATTAAAAAATCTGCTCAGCTTCATGTCTCTGTCTATCTGTGTATCTGTCCAGGGCTCCTGTGGGAGGAACAAAGCAAACACAGAGGACTCATCCCTGAGTTCCTGAGTGAACACAAAGAGGAAATAAAGGAGACAGCAAAGTTGAAGATGATGCAAAGGCCTAATTGAAGGCCTAGCTGAGCCCAGAAGGTCAAGGACCCCAAAATGACCAGCAGAGCTGCAGGCCAACAGTTCCTTACACTGAGGACCCCTACCCTTTATGGGAAGTTGTTATCAGTGTAAGGAACTGTTTGCCAGCAAAGTTCCCAGATGCCAGTCAGAAGCCAACCTCAGGTGCTGTATCAGCTTCTGCACTCCAGAGCTCACAGCAACTGTGGTTTGATTCCAACTGGAGAGAAGGTGAATAGACAGAGGACAGAAACAGGGTGATCAAGCATCCCAGTTTGCCTGGGACTCGGGGCGGGGAAGGAGCGGGGAGCTTCCCAGGACATGAGACTTTCTGTGCTAAAACCAGGATGGCAAGTGGAGAAGTTTCAAGACACGTTTTGGAGAGGTCAAACATTTAAACCACAACAGATGCTAACTACTCAGAGTTAGCATAGACCTCACAGGTGAAGGGCACAGTCCCACAAGATTGCCCTCACTTCAGGTGCCAGTCACAAGTGGTGACTATCCACACTTCTGTTTGACTTGGCTACAAATCAAGAGTTCCCATGATCTCCTCTTCAGGTTTAGTCATTTGCTACAACAGCTCACAGAACTCAGGGAAACACTTTATCTACTGCTTTATTCCATCTGGGATGATATAACAAAATACCATAGAGTGAGTAATTTATAAGTCATAGAAATGTGTAGCTCACAGTTCTGGAGATTGGTAAGTCCAAGATCAAGACACCAGCAGGTTCAGTGTCTGCTAAGGGCTCTCTCCCTCAGAGATGGTAACTTCTCTCTGTGTCCTCGAGAGGCAGAAGGAGAAAGGATCATGCTCCCTTAGGCCTCTTTCATAAGGGCACTAATTCCATTCACAAGGGCTCCACCCTCATGACCTAACCACCTCCCAAAGGCCTCACCTCTCAATAGCAACACTTTGGGGATTCGATTTGAACATACATAGTTTGGAGGGACACAATCAGATCATAGCATCTATGTTTACCAGTTTATTACAAAGCATATTTTAAAGGAAACAGATGAACATCTAGAATAAAAGGGTCTGAGGGCCAGGTCCCAAAAGAAACTGTTCCTCTAATTACGACACTTCTGGAAGACTCGCAAGCCCCATAGCTTCTGTTCCCATGCAGTCTGGGAGGTGTCACCTTCTCAGCATGTGGATGCATTCACCAACTTGGAAGCTCTCTGAACCTCATTGTTTAGGTTTTTATGAAGGTTCATTGCCGAGGCATAATTGATGAAATCATTGGCCATTAGTAATGACAATCAAAAGAAATGTTTTTATATGAGGAATACGAGTTTCCTCTAAATTATCAGGCCCAAAAAGGCATGAGAAACAGACAACAGTCACATCCCACTTCCTCCCTCTTGCTAAATAATCATCTCTTGAAATTGTTTGCTATGGCCGGGCGCGGTGGCTCAAGCCTGTAATCCCAGCACTTTGGGAGGCCGAGGCGGGTGGATCACAAGGTCGAGAGATCGAGACCATCCTGGTCAACAGGGTGAAACCCCGCCTCTACTAAAAATACAAAAAAATAGCTGGGCATGGTGGCGCGTGCCTGTAATCCCAGCTACTCAGGAGGCTGAGACAGGAGAATTGCCTGAACCCAGGAGGCGGAGGTTGCGGTGAGCGCGCCATTGCACTCCAGCCTGGGTAACAAGAGCGAAACTCCATGTCAAAAAAAAAAAAAAAAAGAAAAGAAAGAAAAAAAGACGGCCGGGCGCGGTGGCTCAAGCCTGTAATCCCAGCACTTTGGGAGGCCGAGGCGGGTGGATCACGAGGTCAAGAGATCGAGACCATTCTGGTCAACATAGTGAAACCCCGTCTCTACTAAAAATACAAAAATTAACTGGGCATGGTGGCGTGTGCCTGTAATCCCAGCTACTCAGGAGGCTGAGGCAGGAGAATTGCCTGAACCCGGGAGGCGGAGGTTGCGGTGAGCCGAGATCGCGCCATTGCACTCCAGCCTGGGTAACAAGAGCGAAACTCCGTCTCAAAAAAAAAAAAAAGAAAAAAAGAAAAAAAGAAATTGTTTGCCATGTGAACTCTGGAGTGAATGCCCCCCAGGTTACTAAAAATTAACCTAACAATACTGCATGCTCCACAACGTAACTCATACCCTATCATTCAACAATGTATAGCCATCACTAATCAATGTTATTTCTGTAAACCAATGAGAATTCCTGACAAACAACTTTTTATCAGCCCCATGCCGAGCCCCTTTCTTTGCCTTTAAAAACTTGCTTGTAACAAGGGCTGCATGAAGCTCATATCCAAGGTTACTTGCGTGTGAGTCTTCTAGGAAGCTGTCTTTATTTTGGTTCAAATGTAAACTCTCCACTTTTATTAACTTTTGCCTTAGTTTATTCATTTAGATAAACTGTAATCAAATCTATCTCTAGCCTCCCCTCTCTGGAGGTTGGGACTACAAGTTCCAACCCTCTAATCACATGGTAGGTTTCTCTGATAACCAGCTCCTATCCTCCAAAAGCCACACTTCATTAGTGGCATAAACTCAGGTATGGTTAAAAGGGACTTATGATGAATAACAAAAGATACCACTATCACTCAAGAAGTTATAAGGGTTTTACAAATGCCCATCAATGAGAAGACTGGACAAAGAAAATGTGGTATATGTACACCATGTAATACTATGCAGTCATAAAAAGGAACAAGATCATGTTCTTCGCAGGGACATGGACGGAGCTGGAAGCCATTATCCTCAGCAAACTAATGCAGGAACAGAAAAGCAAACACTGCCTGTTCTCACTTATAAGTGGGAGGTGAACAATGAGAACACATGGACACAGGGAGGGGTACAACACACACTGGGACCAAAAGGGGGCTGGGGGAAGGGAAAACATCAGGATATCAGCCAGTGCATGCTGTGCTTAATACCTAGGTGATGGGCTGATAGGTGCAGCAAATCACCATGGGATATGTTTACCTACGTAACAAACACACACTTAAAATTTAATTTAATTTAAAAACACATATACAAATGACAAACATCAGGATAGCAATTAGCTGGGGTGGAGGGATAAGAAAGAGGAGGGGGCTGGGCATGGTGGTTCATGCCTGTAGTCCCAACACTTTGGGAGACCAAGGTGGGTGGATCACGAGGTCAAGAGATCAAGACCATCCTGGCCAACATGGTGAAACCCCGTCTCTACAAAAAATACAAAAATTAGCTGGGCGTGGTGGCATGCGCCTGTAGTCCTAGCTACTCAGGAGGCTGAGGCAGGAGAATTGCTTGAACCCAGGAGGCAGAGGTTGTGGTGAGCCGAGATTGTGCCATTGCACTCCAGCCTGGGCAACAAGAGTGAAACCCCATCTCAAAAAAAAAAAAAAAAAGAAAAATTTATTATGAGCCAATGAGTGACCATAGTCCCAGGAAAATACAAACCCAAAAAGCCTTGAGTAAGTGGTCCCAAGGCAGTCAGATTATAGTTTGGTTTTATACATTTCATAGAGAAAGGAGTTACAGGCAAAAACATAAATCAGTGTGTGGAAGGTATACACTGGTTTGGCCCCAAAAGGCTGGAGGTCATGAAGTGGGGGCTTACAAGTTATAGGTGGACTCAAATAGATAGATATATACACACTAGACATATAGATTAGATAGATAGATAGATGATAGATAAACTTATAGGTGGACTCAAATTGATAGGTATACACATGATAGAGAGAGAGAGAGAGATAATCTTTTGGTAGGGATAGATAGGGTCTCCCTATGTTGCCCAGGCTAGTCTTGAACTCTTGGCCTCAAGTGATCCTCCCACCTCAGCCAGCTTGACTAAGGGATTCTTTAATTTATAATTGGTTAAAAGAGGGAGGCTCTGTCTAAAACTTGGAGTCAGCAGAGCAATACAATGGGTCACCCAGCAATACACTGGGTCAAAAAAAAGACCTCGTCAGCAAGATTGATGGTCTGCAAGCTTGATTTAACCTTTGCCTTGCATGGCCTCAGGTCTTGTTTATAATTTGATATCTTCCACAAAGTCTGTTTTGTCAGTCTTATGATCTCTATTTTAACATTAACGCCGGGTCAGTTGTCCAAATGCCAAAAAGGAGAGGCTATAAGAAAGGGTGTTCAACCTCCCTTTCCAGAATGGCTGGGAACTGTTTCTGAGGTTTCTCTGGGGTCTCCTCGGCCAAGAGGCGTTCCATTCAGAGGCTGGGGGCTTACAATTTCATTTTTAGTTTACAAACACAAACCAAAGTAATTCTTCATTTATTTATTTATTTATTGAGACAGAGTCTTGCTCTGTCACCCAGGATGGAGTGCAGTGGCAAGATCTCTGCTCACTGCACAGTAGAGACGTTGTGTCACCATGCTGGCCAGGCTGGTACCGAACTCCTAACCTCAAGCGATTCGCCTGCCTAGGCCTGGGATTACAGGCGTGAGCCACAGTAACCAGCCAAAGTAACTCCACAGAAAATAAGCTGTGCTGGAAGTAAAATTAATCAAGTCCATCATACATAGGCCCCAGATACATTTTGTTTTGGCTATCCCGCACTTTAATTATTTTGTAATTAAACATCACTACTGAAAATCAGGAAAATTGCACATAAAAATCCAGAGTTCTAAACGTAAAAAAAAAAAAAAAAAAAAAAAAGTCCTAGGTCTAGATAAACTGCCTGCATTTCCTCAAGAAGAGCTTCAGCTGGAGCTGCAAATGGGACCTCCGGAGTCCCCCAGTCTCCACTCACTCGCCATCCCAGCCCCCACAGGCCCCAACGTCGCCTATCCCCACCCCACCAGCCCAGTCTTTCACTACCCTAGGAGCTCTCCTACGTCTACGCAAGCCGGAATAGGGAGACAGCACCGATAACAAAGCGTCGTCTCCCACACTCCGGATGAGGACAGGGTACTACTGGCAGGAGGGCAACCGAAGCCTTCCTTCCTAGGTTCTTTAGCTTAGAAGTTTCCCATCATTCACCGCGCCACTTCCGCCCTCAGCAAAGTCGGCACCAGCCGAAAGAGCTGGCCGGAAGCAGGAGGCGTGGCTTCCGGTCGGGCGGTGCGAAGCTCTTCTCGTTTCCGCCGGCGCTCAGAGTGACGCAGGGAAGCGCGCCGCGCCGCGCCGCGTGTTTCCGGGGACAGTGCGGGCGGCGGATGGAGGTCAGCAGTGGAGCTCGCGGCGTAGGTCTTGTGGCACGGGAAGAAGGGGTGGCTGAGCGTGGGTTTCGAGGCACACAGGCGTGGGTTAGGGGTCCTGGGATGTGGTGGAGTGTGGTGGTCGCTCGTCCGTGCTGGCCTGCCGGTGTTCACGCTTCCCCTCTTCTCACGTAGTCCTGGCGTCCCGGCCTGGAAGACGCCGCCCATGTTGACCGTTCATGACCCCAGCGAGCCAGTTTTCGTGACTTAGTGCAAGCTGTTATCTCTTTGCAGTTTAGAACCAAGGTTTTGGATTGCTGTTTGACTAAACCCCAGCCCGGCTTCTGGACTTCCGTTTACCCCGCTAAACTACCCTTGGGGTTCTCTTAATAATTGGAAAGGATGCTGGGAGCGGTGGCTCACGCCTGTAATCCCAGCACTTTGGGAGGCCGAGGCGAGTGGATTACCTGAGGTGTCAGGAGTTCGAGACCAGCCTGGCCAACATGGTGAAACTCCGTCTCTACTAAAAATGCAAGAATTAGCCGGCCGTGGCGGCGCGCGCCTGTAATCCCAGCCACTTGTAAAACTGAGGCAGGAGAAACGCTTGAATACGGGAGGCAGAGGTTTCAGTAAGCCCAGATCGTGCTATTGCACTCCAGCCTGAGCGAGAGAGACTGTCTCGAAATTAGGTCGGAAAGGTTTCTTCACTGTTCTTAGACTCAGGAAGTGGTAGATGTTGCGTTTGGGCAAATATTCCTCCTCTCTGAGCCCTCTTCCCCCCCACTCCTTTATGTGAAGATAGACTAAGCTTTTTACAGCTGCAGTAATTCTCTCATATAAAAATAAAATGCTGGCCGTATACCAAGTTTCAGGAAGTGGAGAAAGATCAAACGTACTTTCTGCTTTGCAGAAATGAGGCCCAGGTGAACGTTTTAGCTTGCCTTTGGGTCATTTAATCAATCGCCTTAAGGAGCGACTAGCTGATAGGATTGTTAAAAGCAGCATTAAGGTGATATGTAACCAATTAGCGGAGATGGCAACATTGTGTTTAGCCTTGGAAAGATGAGATGTGTTTTTTTTTGTTGTTTTTTTCTTTTTTTTTTAAAGAATAAAGAAGAGGAAGAAAGAGAAAGAGAAAGAAGGAGAGAGGATGGGGGTATTGCTTTATTGCCCGAGCTAGAATGCAGTCTAAATATGGGTATGCCTATAATTGTCCTTAAGAATGGAGACATGAAAGAAAATGAGGGAAGAGAATAGCAAACAAGGAGCCAAGAAAGATTTCTTTTAAACTTCTAAGTTGATATGATGTGGTACTGATAAGAGTGTATATTTTCTATATTTAAAGTGCAGAGTTCTATAAATGTTAATTACATTTACTTGTTCCAGATCTGAGTTCAAGTCCTGAATATCATTGTTAATTTTCTGTCTCATTGATCTGTCTAATATTAATGTTGAAGTCTCCCACTATTATTATGTGGGAGTCTAAGTCTCTTTATAAGTCTTGTATGTCTGCGTATTCCTGTATTGGGTGCGTATATATTTAGGATCTTTAGCTCTTCTTGTTGTTGCATTGATCCTTTTATCATTATATAATGTCCTTCTTTGCTTCTTTTGATCTTTGTTGCTTAATTGTAACTTCTGCTTTTTATTTATTTATTTTAGCTCTCTGTTTGGTTGGTAAATCTTTCTCCATCCCTTGTTTGGAGTCTTTGTGTATCCTCGAATGTGAGATGGATCTGGATGCAGCATACTGATGGGTTTTAGTTTTTTATTCAAATTGCCTGTCTTTGGATTGGGGGATTTAGTCAATTTAAATTTAGAATTAGTAATAAGATATGTGAGTTTAATACTGCCATTAGCTGGCTATTTTGTCCATTAGTTGATGTAAATTCTTCATTATATTGATGCTCTTTTTGATAATTTTTTTAGAAAGGCTGATACTGTTTGTTCCTTTCATATGTGTAGTGTTCCTTTCATATGTGTAGTGGTTCTTTCAGAAGCTCTTGTAAAGCAGGCCTGGTGGTGATGAAATCTCTGAGTGCTTGCTTATTCACAAAAAACTTTATTTTTCCTTCACATGTGAAGCTTAGTTTGGCTGGATGTGAAATTCTGGGTTGAAAGTTCTTTTCTTTAAGGATGTTAAATATTGGCCCCCACTCTCTTCTGGCTTGTAGGGTTTCTGCTGAGAGATCTGCTGTAAGTCTGATAGGCTTCCCTTTGTGGGTAACCTGACCTTTCTCTCTGGCTGCCCTTAGTATTTTCTCCTTCATTTCAACCCTGGTGAATCTGACGATTATGTGCCTTGGAGTTGCTCTTCTTGAGGAATATCTCTGTGGTGTTCTCTGTATTACCTGGAGTTGAATATTATCCTGCCTTACTAGGCTGGGAAAATTTTCCTGAATAATGTCCTGAAGCGTATTTTCCAACTTGGATTCATTCTCTTCGTCACATTCAGGTACACCTATCAAGCGTAGATTAGGTCTTTTCACATAGTCCCATATTTCTTGGAGACTTTGCTCGTTCCTTTGTATCCTTTTTTCTCTAATCTTGTCTTCTTGTTTTATTTCATTGAGTTGGTCTTGGACCTCTGATATCCTTTCTTCTGCTTGATCAATTCGACTGTTAAAACTTGTGCATACTTCACGAAGTTCTCCTATTGTGTTTTTCAGCTCCATCAATTCACTTATATTCCTCTCTAAATTGTGTATTCTTGTTAACATTTCGTCAAATCTTTTTTCAAAGTTCTTAGTTGCTTTAGATTGGGTTAAAACAAGTTCTTTTAATTCACAGAAGTTTCTCATTATCCACATTTTGAAGCCTGCTTCTGTAATTGGAACACACTCGTTCTCCATCAAGCCTTGTTCCGTTGCTGATAAGGAACTGTGATCCCCCGCTAAGGGAGAGGCGTTCTGATCTTGGGCATTCTCAGCCTTTTTTGGCCGTTTTCCTCCCTTCGTTATAAATTTATCCATCTGTGGTCTTTGAATTCACCGTCTTTGTAATTAGGTTTCTGAGTGGACGTCCAACTTACTGATTCTCAGCGCCGAAATCTGAGCAACCCACTGTGCCGACCAAATCAGCGGCGTTAAGATTAATGGTGCTTTTCCGACTCTGCACCAAGAACCGTCGCTCCAAGGCGCCGGCAAAACCGCCTCGCCGGTCACAAGAGTCGCGCTGGCGACCCGTGGGGCTCCTCCGCTGGGAATCTCCTGGTACGTGAGCAACAAGAATTCATGTGAAGGTGTGGCGTCCTCTCGTTCTTTGCGCTTTCAGTGGGAGCTACAATCCCGAGCTGTTAGTGATCAGCCATCTTGGATCTCTCTCCGAGATGTGTTTTAAAGGGCCTTATGGGGGGAGGAGGAGACCCGGATAACAAGCTCTGTAGGGTGGAGTGGAAGTGCCAGGCCTGTTTAAAATGGGGCCTTGTGTTGTGGGGAGGCAGAGAAGGCTAAGACAGAAAATTATTCTGGGACATGTTATGAAGTGCTTCTTAATGGTTTGGAATTTTTGCTGTTAGAAATTTGGTGGGGGAGGTTTAGTAGTTTAGTGATGTCATCTGTCTTGGTTTCAAGAGGCTCACGCCTATGTCTGCAGTGTTAAAATATCCAGAGAGGCTTTGGGAATGTGAATTCTGTGTTACGGATTTTCCAGGATCATTCTGATTTAAAATAATCGTGTCCCATTGTCTCTTTAAGCCAGTAATTCTTTTTCTTTTCTTTTCTTTTTAAATTTTTACCTTAAGTTCTGGGGTACAGGTACAGATCTTGCGTGATTGTTACATAGGTATACACATGCCATGGTGATTTGCCGCATCCATCCACCCATCACCTACATTAGGTATTTCTCCTAATGGTATCCCTCCCTAGCTCCTCACCCCCTCCTATCCCTCCCCTAGCTCCCGACCCAACAGACCCCATTGTGTGATGTTCCCCTCCCTGTGTCCATGTGTTCTCATTGTTCAACACCCACCTAAGAATTCATTGAGAACATTCGATGTTTGCTTTTCTGTTCTTGTGTCAGTTTGTTGAGAATGATGGTTTCCAGATTCATCCATGTCCCTGCAATGGACATGAACTCATCCTTTTTTATGGCTGCACAGTATTCCATGGTGTATATGTGCCACATTTTCTTTATCCAGTCTATCTCTGATGGGCATTCTTTTTTCTTTTCTTTTCTTTTTTTTTTTTTTTTTTTTTTTTTTTTGAGACGGAGTTTCACTTTGTTTACCCAGGCTGGAGTTGCAATGGCGCGATCTCGGCTCACCGCAACCTCCGCCTCCTGGGTTCAGGCAATTCTCCTGCCTCAGCCTCCTGAGTAGCTGGGATTACAGGCTCGCGCCACCACGCCCAGCTAATGTTTTGTATTTTTAGTAGAGGCGGGGTTTCACCATGTTGACCAGGATGGTCTCGATCTCTTGACCTAGTGATCCACCCGCCTTGGCCTCCCAAAGTGCTGGGATTATAGGCTTGAGCCACCGCGCCCGGCCTTTTCTTTTCTTTCATATGAAGTCTCCCTCACCCAGGCTGGAGTGCAGTGGTGCAATCTCGGCTCACCACAACCTCCACCTCTCAGATTCAAGCAATTCTCGTGCCTTAGCTTCCCAAGTAGTTAGGATTACAGGCATGCACCATGATGCCCAGCTAATTTTTGTATTTTTAGTGGAAATGGGGTTTCACCATGTTGGCCAGGCTGGTCTTGAAGTCCTGACTGTCCTCAAGTGATCCACCCACCTCGGCCTCCCAAAGTGCTGGGATTACAGGCGTGAGCCGCTGTACCTGGCCAAGCCCGTAATTCTTAATCCTGGTTACACTTGAAATTAAAAAAAAAAAAAAAAAAATTAATGCTGTCTGGGCCCTGTCTGCAGACATGCCCATTTAGGAGGCCTTGGACAGGACCTGGGAATCTGAATTGTTTTCAAATTAAAACATCCTAGGTGATTTCAAATTAAAAGCAGGATGAAAACCCTCCCACCCAGGCTGTAATGCTCCTTAGTTTTGATATTTGATGGCATTCTGTACTGAAACAAAAATCCTGTGAGATTTTTTACTTCAGAAAATACTATCACATACCTATGGATTGTCAGAAAAGAAAGGCTGATTTTACAGATAGGGTGGCTCTGACTCCATTTCATTAGTCAGGTTTGTGAGTCAGGAACTGCCTCTGTAGTAGCCCCTTCTTTCTCCTTTTCCTCTTCAGGGTTTGGAATCGCTTGCTAGGAGTCTTGTCTCTTTGCCACCCAGGACATCATGGCGGCTCACCTGGTAAAACAGTGCACATGCCTCCTGAGAGAAGCTGCTCGTCTGGCCCCTACCATGGCTCCAATTGGCCAACTGAGACTTGCCCGGGTAGCTCATAAGACTCTGACTTCCTCGGCCACCTCACCCAGTTCCCACTTCCCAAGTTCCATGATGAAGCTGGAGGACAATGAAAAAGTGTTTACTCTCTACCCAGAGAACCATATAGACCAGCTCATCAAGAAGGCCATAAGGCCAGAGGAGCTCCTGGAGCTACTTGATGCTGGTCACCACTTGAACAACAATCAAGCGGCCCTCATATTTATCCAGCTCTCTCGATTGCTGTTTGAGAAGCCAGAAGACAAGGCCTCGCTCATACAGGATGCCCGCTTTCAGCAGCTTCTCTGTCTGCTCAACAGTGAGGTGGGTGCCACTGTGTTTTCTGAGAGCATGAGCAAGAGGAACACAGCCAGAGATGCTGGAGTCCACAGCAGCCAGTGCTTACTAAGCATAGACCGGGGCCTTGCATGTCTTGTGATATTTTTTTATAAATTTCAAAGTGCTTTATTGTGCTTTCTCTTTGTTTATCCTTACAAGAGCCCTGTTAGGTAAATATTGCTGGGCAATATCCTTGGTTGTCTGTCCTCTTACAGACAGACAACCAAGACGCTTAGTAATAAACAAAAGAAGCGAGGCTGGTTCTTCTCAGTTCTTTGGGTGCTTTTCCCCTCACCATACAGTCTTGACTTGTATTGCTCTGGCTGACAGCAAGTCACTGCTCTCGAAGCCAAAGGAGGTGCAGCATGATTGATGGAAGGTCCCTGAAACTTGAGACAGACGTGGGCATGATCTAGTCGTGTTGAGACCCTCCAAGGATGACCAGGGAGAGAGGAAACAAGACCTATTTGTGTGGCACTGAGCAGGGGAGAACTCAGACTACAGAAGCCAGTTTCTGCTCACTGTGAGGGACTCCCATCTTATAGAATCTTCCCTAGACTCCACGTACAGAAAAAAAGGGAGTATGGACTCCTGCTGGGACTGAACTGGCCCTCCATGGTCTGCTTTGGAAGGGAGGTGCTCGGGCACTGAAACCGTGTTTCCAGTTGTCAGGTGTGACGAAGAGAAAGGAAAGAGTTGCACTAAATGAGTGTTTTTCAAACTGCAGGTTATAAAATCAGTGTAGTGGGATGTGGCCAGCTGTGTCTTAATGAGTTAGCGTAGTATAGAAAAGTCCTAGAATTCAGCACACATAGTAAGGGGAATCAGTGTCTCATGGAACTTTAGTTTTAGTTAAGTATGTATATATTTGCATGTGTTGTGTGTACTGGGGTTAAAACAGTACATGTTCATTTCTTGCTGAGGATATAATTCCTAAAATGAACTTAATTAGGCCCACCTTTTTATTTGGCTGTAATTCTAATTGTTGTTTATTGACTCTTACACATGGTTTAAGCAAGTCTTTTGATACAAGACTGAATCTTGTAACAAAATTATAAGGCCAGTGTCTGCAGTGTGATAACCGCTTTCTTTTCAGAGATTTTCCTGCTGTCCATGAAACCAAAAGGTGGACACCCATACCTTCTGTGAGATTGGAATTTACCCCAGTACTTTCTCCCTCTTCCCAGCTCTTCAGAGAACAGCTTCTCTGTTCCTAGCTCGCCTCGTTGTAGGTGTGGTTTCTGCTTCTCATTAACAGGTAAAGAGACTGAGCCTGCGGGGTCAGTGTTGAGAGACTTGGCCGAAGAAAGAACAGAGCCATACTTGTTTTACCATCTGCTCTCTTCTTTGACAGTGGAGTTGGGGCCAAAGGGCTCTAGAGCCACCCATGTTGACATTCCACAATGTCAACAGTCTGTGAACAGCAGTTACCCTCTTCAGAAACAAAGCAGGCACCAGCAGAGAGGGCAGGCTCTGGTGCAGATTCCGGACCCAGAACTACTGTCAGACTTTGTAGAAATAAGTTCACCTTTGTTTACCTGTGTAGTGGGGCTGATGATTCTCACAGGCTGTTGGTGTCTCATAGGGGTGCGCACACAGAAGGGTGCCTGGCATTTAGTAAGAGCCTGTTCAGAGGCACTGCTGTTGGCAGCAGCAGCTTGGTCATCCTCAGGAGGCCTCTGCTTTTGGAAGCAGGCAGGGCTTAGTGATACACGGTTCTTTTTGCCCGTATGTCAAAGGCTTTCCTGCAGACCTTTGTTCCCAGAGTGCTCCTCCCTTTGCAGGCAGCTGAGGGGCTGGCGTGCTTGGGTGCCACGTACCTGGAGGGTAAAAGTGGTGGCTCACTCAAGCCCTGCACCTGGTCTGCAAGGACTTCTGCTTTTGCAGCAGTTGCATTCCTAAGAAACATCACATTGCCAGAAATTGCGAGATTGGTTTGTTGGAGAAAAGTTTAAGGGTTGGAGCTTCTCTGACTCAAAAATAAATTATTTTATTGGAGAAAAGCCAGTGTTTGTCTTTTTGTTTTCTTTGTTTTTGTTTTGTTTTGTTTGAGATGGAGTCTCACTCTGTCACCTAGACTGGAGTGCAGTGGCACGATCTCGGCTCACTGCAGCCTCTACCTTCCAAGTTCAAGTGATCTCACCTCAGCCTCCCGAGTAGCTGGGACTGCAGGTGTGTGCCACCACACCTGGCTAATTTTGTTTGTTTGTTTGTTTGTTTGTTTTTGAGATGGAGTCTCGCTCTGTCACCCAGGCTGGAGTGCAGTGGTGTGATCTTGGCTCACTGCAACCTCCGCCTCCAAGGTTCAAGCGATTCTCCTGCCTCAGCCTCCCGAGTAGCTGGGACTGCAGGCATGTGCCACCATGCCTGGCTAATTTCTTTTATTTTTAGTAGAGATGGAGTTTCACTGTGTTAGCCAGGCTGGTCTCGAACTCCTGACCTCAGATGATCTGCTTGGCTTAAGCCAGTGTTTTTAATACTTAAAACTTATAATGTCATTCATTGCAAGTAAAATGGTAACAAAACTGATCTTAGCAAGCCTAAGTGCCACCGTCTCTGCCATCAGGTCACATCCTTCAGGCTCCACTTTTTCTTTGACCTCTTCCATTGACTTGACAGCTGTACTTGCAGCTCAAGTCTGCGTGCCCACTACACAGAGCTGTAGCCAGGACCATATAAAAGAGTGTGGTCTCTCTTTAGTCAGCTACATGAGGTCAAAGCTTCATTGGGAGAAATTTGGAGAATTTCTCTTGCCACTCAATTCTTGTTAGCAATTGCAAATGACCTCGGCTACCTTGAGCAGAAATGTGCTATTTATTGGAGTTGAGAGGATCAGGCTCAGAGTTGTGCCCTTGGGTGTGGCCTGTGCCTGAGGGGAGCTCCAGCTGTGCAGACGTTTGGCAGCCATGTCAAATTCATTGCCTGCCCTGCCCGTGGTAGGCAATGGCCCAGAAGGCTGCCACAGAAACAGTGTAACTCATGGGCCCTGTTCCTGTGTCCCAGGCTCAGGGATAAATTTGGTTACAGACACCAAGCATTTAGGCCTCAAGGCTGAGCAAGGCTATGAGGAGCAGCCAGGCACCCGGGCCCTGTTTGAACAGAGTGGGAAACTGATACTGTCTTCTCTGAAGAGTTACAGTAAACGCCCATGAAATGAGGTTCAAAAGGGCAACCTCCAGCTCACATGCAGGATTTACAGTACCACGTCACTTCTCCTGTGTCCTTTCCCTGCCTAGATATCCTCGGTCTGGCATGGTACCCTCTCGAGGCTGCTGCGGAGCCTCTATGCTCTGGGCCTCCCCGAGACCTCCAAGGAGCTGCAGTCAGTGGAGCAGGAGGTCCGCTGGCGCATGCGGAGGCTCAAGTACAAGCACCTGGCCTTTCTGGCAGACTCCTGTGCCACTCTCTCCCGGAAGCAGCGCTCCCAAGAACTGCTCGCTGAGCTGCTCATGCACCTGGAAAGACGCTGGACAGAAATTGAAGATGGCCGCACGTTAGTGACCATCATGATGAAGGTGGGACACCTCTCGGAGTCACTGATGAACCGCCTGGAAGACAAGGTACTGAGCCTGAAAGCAGGTGGCACCCAGCCTGCCTCTCCTGGGCTTTGGGCTTGTTCTTTAGGTGACAGTCATCTGCAGAGGGGTATGTTGCATGCACTGGGATCAGAGCCCCGGAGCTTCTGTCTGAAGCCTCAGGCATCACATGGTGCAGAACCTGAGGGCTTGGAGCTGCAACAGATGGTTGCCCTGTGGCTGCCTTCATCAAGCACCACTTGCTCCTCCCAACACAGGTGATTTCCTGATTGTACCTTTATCTGTCCCTCAAACCCCATCATGGCATGATCTTGAGATGGGGGCAGGGCAGCAGCTCCTCAAGTAACACAGGTACTGCCCAGGCCTGGCTTCTGACTAGAACTCTCCTATGGATGTGTTAACCCCTACCAGCTGTGGCCCTGCAGTCAAGTCAGATTCAGTGCCCGTTCCTGTCACAGCGGGGGCTGGCCCAGATGGCTGCCACAGCAAGCTCCACAGCTCATGGGCCCTGGGTCGCCCACTCTGGGACCTGGGGATAAGTTTGGCTGTGGACACTGTTCAGGTCCAAGGGTTCCTGGGGTGGATGAGGAGGGCCTGTTTAGTCAGCTCAGGCCCAGTTGCTGTCTCACAGGGGCTGCACTGGATGGGACCGTGGGACCCCTGCCCCCAGCTCGTCCCTGCCACCTCAGGCCATTGAGCTGACCTCTGCGCGGCTGTGGTTGACAGTGCCTGGAGTTAGTGGAGCAGTTTGGCCCCGAAGAGCTGCGGAAGGTTCTGGTGACGCTGGCAGCTCAGAGCCGGCGGTCCGTGCCCTTGCTGCGGGCCGTCTCCTACCACCTGGTGCAGAAGCCCTTCCATCTGACGAAAGGTGTGCTCCTGGACCTGGCCTACGCCTATGGTGAGCCTTTGGATAGAACAGTGGAGAAAGGGGAGCTCTGGCCCTGCAGATACCTGCAGCTGTGTCAAATTCAGTGCCTTTCCTTCACGTGGTAGGCACTGGCCCAGAAGGCTGCCACAGAAACACTGTGACTCATGGGCCCTGTTCCTGTGTCTCCGGGCTCAGGGATAAATTTGGTTACAGACACCAAGCATCTAGACCAGGCGTCCCCAAATTTTTTACACAGGGGGCCAGTTCACTGTCCCTCAGACCGTTGGAGGGCCACCACATACTGTGCTCCTCTCACTGACCACCAGTGAAAGAGGTGCCCCTTCCTGAAGTGCGGCGGGGGGCCGGATAAATGGCCTCAGGGGGCCGCAGTTTGGGGACGCCTGGTCTAGACCTTGAGGCTGAGGTGGGGTGGGGCTGGCGGGTGATTGCTGAAACCCTCCCCAGCTAAATCCTGTGATCTACTCTGTCCCGAAGGCAAACTCAACTTTCACCAGACCCAGGTGTGCCAGCGCCTGGCCGCCGACCTGCTGTCCCTCACACCCGACCTGACTTCCGGTGAGGTGGCCCGCTGTGCCAAGTCCTTCGCCTTACTCAAGTGGCTCAACCTGCCCCTGTTTGAGGCCTTTGCCCAGGTGAGCCAGGGCTAACTCCAGGGTCCAGGGCCTGGTTCAACCAGCCTCAAACCACTGAGGATGGCTGGGTTTCAGGGTGCTCTGTCCATGCCTGGCCTCAACTGAGAGGAGCTGGCTTCCTGGGCGTCTGCTGAGAACCATTACTTTAGTCAGGAAAGCAAAGCCAGTCTGAAAATGCTCACTTGGGGCAAATGTTTCTTGCATTTTGGCTTATTTTTAAAGAGCTGCTGTTGAGTTCTCAAAAAAGTGTTTGAGAACTGTTTCCTCTGTTCTTTCACTGACCATCGTTAAGTGCTTCCATCCGTGTTGGGGTAGCTGTAGCAGGTAGCAGCATGACCAGTGAGGCTAAGAATCCACTCAGAACTGTCACCTGAATCACTGACCCTACCCCACCAAAGTGGAACTCTAAAGAAAGATGACCCCTGCACTTAGGTTTATGTGTGTGTGACCAGTCTAAACTAAGTTTACTGGTTGGGGCGTATTTCTAAAGCCCTTATCAGAAAGAAGCAGTTTCTAGGTGTCCCCAGCCTCTGTGTAGTTGCTATTGGACGAAGGAGGCCTGTGTAGGTCCCCCTGTGTGGTTGGCACAGCTCGTGGGGCCTGGATGGAGGCTCCTGCCGTTGCCCCTGGCCATGCAGGCTGTCCTCAGACTCAGAGCTGGGCGGGAAGACACTGAGGCAGAGGGCTTATCCTGTCCCTCTGTCTGTCACCCACCCAGCACTTCCTGAACAGAGAACAGGACATCCCCCTGCCCCACCTGTGCAACATGCTCCTGGCTTTTGCGCGTCTGAACTTCCATCCAGACCAAGAGGATCAGTTCTTCAACCTGGTACAGCCTCTGGGCTCCCATTGCTTGACCTTTACCCTCCCCTACCAGCTAATGGCTCAGGACCAGCTCAGGCTGGGTAGAGGGGAAGGGGCTGCTTTGCATGGCATGGGAGGGCAGAGAGGTAGATGGCTGGAGTCAGGTGTCCGAGGGATCACTGAGGACAAACGTGAAATCCTACTGTCTGGTTAACTCCCCTGCCAGGCAGTACTGGGGGAGTCCTGCCTCTGTTGCTCCTTTTAGTGCCCTGTTGATACTGAGAAGCTCCAGTGGGTGTTCCTGCTTTGTGCCCCAGCTCAGGGTGGGAGGGGGAGCCCTCTATATGAAAACCTCAGGACAGGTCACAGAAGCCAGCAGGCCAGATGTGACCCCAGGATTCCATTAAGGATTTGCCTCCACAGTCCTGAGAAAAACCAGCCAGGGAGCGCTTCTTCACCTCTTGGATGCTCTCATCCTCTGAGAGGACCAGAAACACCTCTTCCCTTGTCCCAGGTGCCCACTTGGAGACATTATGGGAGAAGGATTTTTTTTTTCTGCCAGTGGGTTGGTTATAGTAAACCTAATCAAATGCCAGCATGTGGCAGCACTCTTCCTGCTGTCCAGAGTGGTCTTGGGGCATGAGGAAGATTCCTGGTACCTTCAAGTCCAGGATTGCTCCAGGCCTCACCAAGGACCAGGGTTCTGCCTCTTGTTCCCCAGTAGCCTCCTCTGGCCTCCTCCCAACCAGGTCAAGACCACGTCATGGACTATGGCTCACCTGTAGCTATTTGCAGCCCCTAAGCAGAGCCTGCTTTCTCCACCGCACCCTATCCTTGCCCAGGTACACAAGAAGCTGGGGTCAGAGCTGGCGGGCCTGGAGCCAGCCCTGCAGGTGGACCTGGTGTGGGCCCTGTGTGTGCTGCAGCAGGCACAGGAGGCAGAGCTGCAAACTGTCCTTCACCCTAAATTTCACACCCAATTTCTAGGTGAGCCCCCCGCCCCTAGTACTACTGGAACTGGGAAACTGCCTGGTCTTATCTCCCTAGCGCTGGGTGAGAATTTGGGGGAGCGGGAGGCCAGGGTTCTCCATCGCCCTTGCTCCCTATCCGCCGCCTGTGGGTGGCCAGCAGACCGTAACTCTGCTGCCTCCTGGCCCAGAGAACTGGGCTGGGACTGTGTGTAGGGGTGCCACTGCCCTTCCATCCGGGGTCTCACCATCTCTGTTCCTCCTGGCCCTAGGCCCACCTCCCTCTTCTTTCTCCTTGTCCCCTAGGGGGCAAGTCTCAGAAGGATCAGAACATCTTCCAGAAGCTGCTCCACATTAACGCCACTGCCCTGCTGGAGCACCCCGAGTACTCGGGTCCCCTTCTGCCAGCCTCAGCTGTGGCACCTAAGCCCTCGGCCCTTGACAGGAAGGTGACCCCCCTGCAAAAGGAGCTGCAGGAGACACTGAAGGGGCTGCTGGGGAGCGCCGACAGGGGCAGCCTCGAGGTGGCCACGCAGTACGGCTGGGTGCTGGGTGAGGGCTCCCCCTGGTTGGCAGAGGGCCTGGCACTGGCTGAATCTAACAAGGCTGTTCTAACCCGCCCCCTCTGCAGCAAGAACAGACCCAGAGAGCTGTAGAGTATCAGCCTGGGCCCCCACAACCCCACCTTTGTTCATCCTTCCTGTTGGGGGTTTCTGAGGAATGTCCCCCAATGTGTTCTCATCCCACACCCCTTCCCCAGATGCTGAGGTGCTGCTGGACAGTGACGGTCAGTTTCTGCCCTTAAGGGACTTTGTGGCACCTCACCTTGCCGAGCCAATTGGGAGCCAGCCACCACCTCCAGGGGCTAAGAGGTAGGTGGCCAGGGACCTGTTGGCCATGGCCCCAGTGGAGGTCGTGGGGGCACCGTGGCAGTTGGACTGTGTATTCTTTGCTTTCCCTCTTTCCCCTCCGAGGGGCTGGGAGAGTAGAGAGGAAGCTTGTTAGCCACCCCTTCTTCCTTCCAGGATAGCTTTCCTGCGGTGGGAGTTCCCCAACTTCAACAACCGAAGCAAAGACTTACTGGGTCGCTTTGTCCTGGCCCGGCGACACATAATGGCTGCAGGTTTCCTGGTAGTGGATGTGAGTACCTCTTGGGCAAGTGGTCGCTGCGCAGGGAGGATCCCCCACCCATGCTGGAGAGAGGATCAGGTGGAAGCAGAACCAGCCTAGAGCCAGCTAGGAGGAGCCCAGGGAGGGAGTTCACTGTGGATCCTAGCTGCTCCAGCCTCCCCTTACACCTTCCCAGCATCTCACCCCATGGGTGAACCCAGAAAGGCCACCAAGCCTCCTCATTTCAGCTTAGGAGGTGGGCAGGGTAGGGCGCGTTCATAGATGAACAGCTCGAAGCCCAGGAGGCTGCACAGCTGTTGGTACTCCCGAGTGCAGCTGCTCTGCCTCCTTGGTCAGGGCTTGTTCTCGGGAAAGGTAGGAGCAGCGGGACTGGCAGGAGCAGAAAGACACAGGTCCTGGGCCTGACTCTGGTCTCATGCCTGGGAGACCTTGGCTAAGACCAAAGGGTGCCAACTGAATGAACGTGTGGCTTCATGAGCCACAGAAGGGTTCTATCAAGTTTTCTTTGGGTTGTTGTTGAGTTTTATTAATCAACTATTTAAAATTCAGAAGCCCTTCTTGGGCCTCTGAGTGGTTTACAGACCCCTCCATCACTGACAGTGCAAGGGTCTCTCCCCACCCGTACTGTCTTCAGTTCATGGGCTCTGCCTTGAGGACTTGGAGGCTAAGGGGCAGGTGTGCAGAGGTGTGGGGTCGGGGGTCAGTGTGAGGGCAGCAGGCAAGCAGGCAGAGCCGCTGACTGGCAGGGATCTCCTTACCCATGTGACCTATCTCTCCCCGGCCTCCCTCTAGGTCCCGTTCTATGAGTGGCTGGAACTCAAGTCTGAGTGGCAGAAAAGTGCCTACCTCAAGGACAAGATACGCAAAGCGATGTCTGAGGAGCTGGCCAAGTGACCTGTGCTGGTGTGGACTGCATGCCCAGGGGGCTGACTCTGCCGGAGGTCTAGCTGTGAGCGGGCAAGAAGTGTCGCCTTTAAGGACAAACCTCTGTGCAGGACCTTGGCCAGAGTGGGGAGGGCAGCCAGCAGCTCTGAGGGACAGAGCATCCTCTTGTGTGTAATAAATTTTTAATTTTGGTGTTGGACCCCGGGGGCCTTCCCAGGCTTTGTCACCCTCCACACTGTCAGCACTTGTCTGTCTGCCCTCCTTCACCACACCCAGCCCAAGAGGGCCGCTTTAGGGACAAACCTGGGTCGTCACCTGCCCTTCTTTCCCAGCTTCTTCTCATCACGTGTGCATATTCACATGTGCCAGCCTCTTGGGTAGGGATCTGGGTCAGCCCCAGCAGACAGGTGGAGTCCTGGAATTCTGAACCTCCAGGGAAGAGGAGCTTCAGTGCATGGCTGGGGATTCTGATGGACCTGTGACTACTGAACTGCAGCCAACCTGGGAGGCTTACTCCCATGAGTAGTCTTATGCTTAGGTGAGTGAAAGGCACCCTGGCAGCGTGTGGTGACAGGTGATATGAAAGCTGGGTGAGCGCACTTGAGAGAGGAGATCCCACTTGGCTGACACCACAAGGCCAAGAGCCAGGCTCCGTCGCCGTCTTCCCCACCCTGACCAGAGTCTCGTGCTGTCATCACAGGAACTGGCTGCCCAAACAGGGCTCTGGCCGCTTCCCTACTGCTGTGGGGATAACCAGATGCTGGGAGGCAGCAGGCTTTCTACCTTCCAGCCTCTCCTTAGAGACACTCTTTGGCAGGACCTGACCAAACAGCAGCCGGGACCGTGAGTCGCCTCCAGCCATACAGAATGGAGAGCGGGACAGTGGGGTGGAGCTGAGAGTGGAGAAACCCGCTGCCCTCAGCAATGCAGGCTCCCTACCTTAGGCTGTTTACTCAAAAAGAACAAGTTACTGCTCTGTCCAACGCTTGGCCACTCACCCAAGCATTGAGGTAGCTTTGTCCCGGCTGCATTGGGCACCGTCAGGCACAGGTGAGCACAGTCCCTGTCGTTTGCACGGGCTCCAGGCCTACCACAGGAGTGGTCCCTCACCCAGTGGGAGGGGAAAGAGCTGCCAGAGGTGACTTCTGAATCGAGGAAGAACATCCCAAGGATAAGGGACAGCTAGGACAAGTGCTAAGGGTATGGCAGCAACTTAGGTCTTAGCAGGGGGTGTTCAGCATCTGCAGGGGTGAGACCGAGGAGCTGAAGGAGCCAGTTGAGGAGAACCTGGTATGTATCTAACCACAGAAATAAAAGCTCATCCTCAGGGCCCCTGAATTTTTATTTTGAGATACTTAACACGTTCTGTGCAGTTGTAAGAAATAATCTGTGATTCCCTCCATGGCAGAGTAGGGTGCAAGGTCACACCCTGATACTGGCATGAGCACAGGTCAAGCAGAAAGCATTTCCATCTCGAAAGGGCCCTCACATTGCCCTTTATACTCACCTCCTCCTCATCCTTCACCAGCAGCTGCAAGTCTTTGGTCATTCTAAGAATGTCACAAAAATCAGGATGTGGACTTCTGGAATTATATTTCTTGGCATACTCCTCTGAAAATTTGAATTCTCAAATTATGTGTATCAGTAGTTCATTTCTTTTTATTGCTGTTGCATCTATGTTGTGCTTTATTCTGTGATGTGGCTGTAACACCCATATGCTCCCTTTACCCAATAATAATAATATGGGTTGTTTCCAGGTTTTCACTATTACTGATAAAGTAACCAGAAAATCTGTGTCTAGATTTTTGTGTAAGTTTTCATTTCTCTGGGGTAAAGATGCCCAGGAGTGCAGCTGCCATGTCAGATGGAATGTGTGTTTTTCTAAAAAACTACCATCTTTCTTCTCTTTCTGATAAGTTGTTGGTAAATAGACATTTATTTGCCATCTATTCCCTTTGGTGAAATGTCTTCTCATGCCTTTTGCCCATGTTGTACTTGCATTTTCTTTTTTATCAGTCTTGAGAGGGCTTTGTAAGAGAGATTTTTGGTTTTGCCTCTAGATGTCCGTTGCTCCAGAACCATTTGTTGTAAGGCCATCCTCTCCCATTTGACTTGACTTTTGCATGTCTGTAAAAAGTCAGTTGGGCATATTTGTATGGTTCTGTTTCTGCATTTTCTGTTCGGTACTGTTGATCTATATTATTTGTCTGCCACTATGCCATTCTTGATTACTTTAGCTGTAAAGCAGGCCTTATTGGGTAGAGTGATGGGTTCTCCTACTTTATTTTTCAGAATTGTTTTAGCTATTCTTCCTTTTCCTGTTCATGTAAATTTTTGAAAAAGCTCATCTATGTCCAAAAAAAAAAAAAAAGTCTTACTGAGGTTTTGATAGGAGTTACTTTAAACCTATAGATCAGTTTAGGGAAACATGACATCTTTACTGTGTGGAATCTCCCAGTGGAAACAATAGCCATCTGTATTCAAGGGTTCAACCAACCCCAGATTGCAAAAGCAAAAAATCAAGAATACAAATGTAAATAACATGTAATTATTGACACAGCTTTTATATTGTGTTAGGTATTACAAGTAGTCCAGAGATGGGGGTTTTTTGTTGTTTGTTTGTTTGTTTGTTTGTTTGTTTGTTTTTGAGACAGTTTCGCTCTCGTTACCCAGGCTGGAGTGCAATGGCGTCATCTCGGCTCACCACAACCTCCGCCTCCTGGGTTCAGGCAATTCTGCCTCGGCCTCCTGAGTAGCTGGGATTACAGGCATGTGCCACCATGTCCAGCTAATTTTTTGTATTTTTAGTAGAGACGGGGTTTCACTATGTTGACCAGGATGGTCTCGATCTCTTGACCTCGTGATCCACCCGCCTCGGCCTCCCAAAGTGCTGGGATTACAGGCATGAGCCACCGCACCTGGCCCAGAGATGTTTTAAAGGATACACGAGGATGCGCATAGATTTTATGGAAATCCTATGCCATTTTCTAATAGGGACTGGAGCATGGGTAGATACCAAGGGATGACTAGGTATCTGTTTATTTAGGTCTTTGCTTTTATTAATGTTTTGTAGTTTTGTTTCTGTTTTTGAGATGGAGTTTCATTCCTATGGCCAGAGCTGGAGTGCAATAGTGTGATCTCAGCTCACTGCAACCTCTGCTTCCCGGGTTCAAGTGATTCTCCTGCCTCAACCTCCCTAGTAGCTGGGATTACAGGCACCTGCCACCACACCCAGCTAGTTTTTGTATTTTTAGTAGAGACAAGGATTCACCATCTTGGCCAGGCTGGACTTGGACTCCTGACCTCAGGTGATCTGCCTGCCTTGTCTTCCCAAAGTCCTGCAGTTACAGGCGTGAGCAACCATGCTTGGCTGATTTACATAGTAACAAAAACTACAGGCTGGCATGGTTGGTAGTTCGAGACCAACCTGATCAACATGGTATAATCTTGTCTCTACTAAAAATACAAAGTTTAGCTGGGCGTGGTGGCACATGCCAGTAATTCCAGCTACTCGGGAGGCTGAGGCAGGAGAATTGCTGGAACCCAGGAGGTGGAGGTTGCAGTGAGCTGAGATTGCACCACTTCACTCCAGCCTGGGTAACACAGCAAGACTGTCTTATCTCATCCTTTCAAATGCATATGCCTTTTATTTTGTTACTTTTGACCACTTTATTAAAATAAAATTCATGTACCATATACTTCACCTATTTAAAATGTATAATTCGGCCAGGTGTGGTGTCTCATGCCTGTAATCCCAGCACTTTGGGAGGCCAAGGCCCACAGATCTTGAGCTCCAGAATTCAAGACCACCCTGGGCAGCAGGCAAAACCGTGTCTCTATTTTTTGAAATATAAAAACTAGCTGTGGTGGCATGTACCTGTCGTCCCAGCTACCCAAGAAACTAAGGTTGGAGGATCACCTGAGCCTAGGAAGTCCAGGCTGCAGTGAACCATGATAGCACCACTGCAATCTAGCCTGGGCAACAGAGCGAGACCCCATCTCAAAAACAAAAATGTGTAATTCAGTGGTTTTGAATCTCTTTGCAGATATGTGCAACCATCACCACAACCAATTTGAACATTTTGTAAACCTCATAAACTGTGCCCTACAGTTAGTACCTCCCAACCCCCACCATAAGCAGCCACTCATTTTTCTCTATAGATAGATTTCCCTCTTCTGAACTTCATATGAATGAGATCATACAAGATGTGGTATTTTGGTATTTTATAAAGAAGTTTTTTTGGCTCACAGTTCTGCTGCTGTACAAGCATAGTACCGACATCTTCATTTACTTAGCGTGTTTTCATGCTTCATTGATGTTGTAGCATGTATCAGTATTCTCTTTTTTGGCTGAATAATTTATTATATGTTCACGCCACATTTTATTTATCCATTTATCCACTGATGGACATGTGGATTGTTTCCACCTTCTGGCTAATATGAATCGATACAGTTTGGATACTTTGTTCCCTCCAAATCTCATGAAATAGGATCACCAGTGTTGGAGAATGGGGCCTGTCAGGAAGTGTTTGGGTCATGGGAACAGATTTCTCATAAATGCCTTGGTGCCAGCCTTGTTATGAGTGAGTTCTTGCTCTATGTTAGTACACTTGAAAGCTGGTGGTTTAAGAGAGACTGGCAACTCCTGTCCTCTCTTCTGCCCTCTCTCATCATGTGACATGCCTGCTCCCTGTTCACCTTCTGTCATGAGTAAAAGCTTCCTGAGGCCTCCCCAGCAGCCAAGCAGATGTCCGTACCCTGCTTGTACAGCCTGCAGAACTGTGAGCCAAATAAACTTTCTAAATTACCATCTCAGATACCCTTTTACAGCAATGGAAAATGGACCAAAACATGAATAATACTGCTATAAATATTTCTGTGCAAGTATAAATGTATGTTTTCATTTTTTTTCTTGGCTTTATACCTACGAGTTGAATTGCTGGGTATGTGGTAACTATGTTTAGTCATTTGAAGAACTGCTGGACTGTTTTACCAGCAGTGTGTAAGGTTTCAGATCTCTCTACATCCTCAATAACATTTATAATCTGAGTTTTATTTTAGCCATGTTAGTGGGTATAAAGTGATTTCTCATTGTGCTTTTCATTATTTCCCTGATCATTAATGGTTTTCAGCGTTTTTCTCATTGGCCATTTTCATGTCTTTTGGAAGAAGGTCTTTTACAATTCAGGGAGTACATTAGGTGCAGGTTTGTTACATGGGTATATTGTATAATGCTGAGGT